AATACTGCTGGTCCACAGTTTACACATAGCTCAAGGAGCAAGGCAGCCCTGGGACCTGTGCTCTAAGAACCTGTAACTATTCACTTGGGGCCCTGGGAAGAAGCAGACAGTGGACTCAAGCCAGGTGAGCGAGGAGACTTCACTATGATGTGAGAAGCACTAAAGGATGCCGGGAAGAACACAATGAAGGCCTATGGCTAGCAACTAGGGGGATGAGCTGTAACCATCCCCAGACCGAAAGGGCCAAAGGAAGAAGAGGTTACCAGAACCAAAGAAGTTCAAAGCCGGAACAGGAACGGCAGGCTGGAGCCATGAATAGAGCTCAGTTCTAGGTATCTAGAGTAAAGGAACAAAGGCACTTCCGAGGGTGGAGGGAGAATAACCCAGTCTTACTCCCTTCCTACTTTCCCATCCCTTCCTGTGCCTCCCACTGGCCAGGCCCAACGGGGACCCAGAGGGCAAGGGGCTTGCTGAGCTCCTCGCAGCTGCCCAGAGCAGAGCAGCGCAGCGGCGTGGAGAGTGGACGAAGGACACAGGGAGCTATCCAATACAGGAACTTTGGACCAACTGGCAATTCACAATTTCCTCTAGTTAAAAGTGAATACCTTTAAAACTGAAAGAGTATGGACCTATCTGTGGGGGCTACACAAAAAGACTTCAGTGGGTCTGTGCTGTTCCTCTAGGCAATCTTTAGGAAGAAAAGAACCACAAGTGGCTTGGTAAGTAGGGGCAGCTTTAAGGATAAAAGAAAAACAAGCTGAATGCCTGAGGCAAAGGCATAAAGGTAGTGAAGAAAGCCATTAAAAGACTAGCTCAGGAAGTTAAGAATAGAGTGGCCCCTATAGGGTTCTCTTAGAGAAAAAGGACTGGCAGGTTGGGGCTGGGGGCAGGCAAGAAAACCAGCCTTCCCTCTGCCTAAAACCTTCCGACTCCTTTTTTAAATTTAGATGCAATATCACTGGTGGATTTCCAAGATTTGGGGAAGAAAGCAGACCCAAGGAAAATTAGAAACAGTAACCGCCATGACTAAATAGTCAGCTCCTAAAAAAATCCAACCAAAGTTTGCTACAGAAAGATGATTGTAATTATAAATGTATGTGTGTGTGGACGTATATATGGATTTCTCATTAGAGCTCTAATCAAGGCTCTTGGGAAAACATTAAAAAATGGAAAAAGCAAAATCATCCTATTTGGACTTTCAACATGTTAAAAACCAGTGTCTTTTATTCTAAAAAAACAGTGTCATCTCCCATCTGTGATGGATGTATCACACTCCTCATAGTAACGGTGGGGACAGTGCTAAGCACAGCAGTCCTCCCCAGGTGTGGCGGGAAGCCAAAATGTCGGGAATCTCAAGAAAGTAAGACCCCAATCTGGACCCTGACTGATGAGTCAGATTTGGGTGTCCTTTGCCAACAGGACATGATATATGCTTCACTACTTCCAACCCCCTTCCTTAAGCCCATATTCCAAGAGATAGATAAGGCACGGGGAGTTCACCACTGACTTCAGGGGAATTACCAAGAGAAAACAAAACAAAACAAAACCAACAAACATAAAACACGGCAAACACAGATTTTAAATTCTTGGCTCTAGTTCAACGGAGAGACAAATTAGTTTTGAAAAGACATAAACGGGCAGAACAAGTTTTTGTTTGGTTTTGGTTTGGTTTTTGGTTTTGTGTTTCACCGCCCCACTCCAAACTGTGAAGAAGGAAGAAACCTGAACAGAAAAAAAGAGCATTATAAGCAATTAGAGGCCATGCACTCAGTGCTCCACCCTCAGAATAAGGCTGGGAGTGGGGGTCCTTACAAGTTTCCCTAGGAAGTTTGGAAGGATCTAGGAGGAGGCTAGCTTTCTGCTTCTCTTCTTTAATTACTAAAGGAGGCTACTGCGGAGACATCCCATGTCACAAGGACAAGAAGAATGGGTATGTTACCATCATAATTGGCTAGTTATTAGCAGTAATAGGAAGAAAGCAATGGGGAGGCCAGACATTGTAAGCATGGCCATCTGGACAGCTTCACCAAAAAACTGCAAGTTTACACTCCCCAGGGAACCACAGGTCCATTCCCTGCAAATCAGGGAAGGGGTCCAACAAAATATGCACAGTGAGGTCAAGGTGAACACGACATGGGAAAGGTGCTTGCCTGTCAGTCTCACTGGGGAACAAAGGTTATTGGTTAGGGTTTGGAGCCACTGCAAGTGCATGAGATCCTGAAGTATTAATTGGTTAAGCTCCTGGTTATAACCCCAAAACAAATAGTTCTCGCTCTCTTGTTCCTCTTGCTGGCTTGCCCTTGCACTCACTCCGTGACCCGTGCTAGCCTGACGTGCGGCCTTAGAAGCTGCATGGCCCATGGCCATGCGGACCCCACATGCAATGGACTATAGCTGGGAACACAAGCTGAGCTAGCCAGATGCTGGACTGGACTTTAGTATGGAACAAAGACTCTGGGCGGTGGCTTTGATCTTAGCCCTGTTGGACTTTTCCATGGTGGGACAGATGGAGATGGGACCTTGGAAGGGAACTCCCTTAATGGTGTATTGTTAATAAAGCTTTCCATCTCATCTTCCTGTGGGGGCCTAGGGAATTTCTTATTCCTGCGGCACCCCAAGAAGCTCACTTCTACCAGCAACAGGTAGAGACACGGAGGTTATCCCACCGATAGCAGGTAGAGAGAGATGAGCTTGGTGGGCTAAGGTAGATGGGGTCAGGCATTCCCTGCATTGCCTAAGGGGTGCTCGCTTCAGCTGTAAGAGAACGTGTAAAAGGCAGATTGATGTATTCTCAGTCTGACACTCCTGGCTGGAGATAAGGGTCCTGATGGCAGGGGTTGCTAAGAGGGTAGTTCATAAAAGGGAGCCAAGTGGGAGCCATGCCCATGCCCACAGATCCACATTTGCATCCCTGGAGCCCTTAGTCTAATTGCACAGAGGTGAGGGGGTCAGTTCAGGGCTCAGAGAAGTCAGGGAGGGGAGGCTGAGTGCAGAACTTGGGCCCCATGACTGCCTCTTTGGAGCCACTGGATTGAAGCAACAACATGGAGTAAAAGGAGAGGGATGGAGGGCAAGATCCTGAATGTTCCTGATTTTTAACCAAGAGCAATTTAGAAAGTACTAAACGGGATGAAGCTGGCTGGCTGTGGCTGTTACTAGACCAAGTTTTTTTGCTGTCAGAAATAGGGGATTAGAGTTAGAATATAAATGTATTGCCGGAAGTTTTTTAAATATTATATTCTGGCCCGGCCGGGCGTGGCTCTATGGTTGAGCGTCGACCTAGGATCCAGGCGATCGGGGTTCGATTCCCGGTCAGGGCACATGCCCGGTTGCGGGCTTGATCAATGACTCTCTCATCATTGATGTTTCTATCTCTCTCTCCCTCTCCTTTCCTCTCTCTGAAATCAATAAAGATATATTTTAAAAAATAAATAAAAATTATATTCTGTGACTGTGAAATTCATGCGCATTACAAGACTGATAGATTTTTCTCAGTTCCCATTGCTTAAATGTTATATGTGAATATTCAATTAAGCTCAAATTCTCTCCAGAAGCAGCAGCCTCATGGTCTAGCTTCTGCAAAGGACGAAGAAGCTGATTCTGGTTGGCCATCTGGCCTTGACCTTGATCTTATCTGAGGTCAGATTTAGAACTGGGACGGCCTTCCTGGTACAGCCCATACTTAAGAATTGGCAACCCTACCTGGAAGCACCTGGGCCTATCCAGGTCCTTGGTCCTGCCTAAGAGGTGAAATGTGCAGTCAAGCGCTGCTCACACATGACAAGACAGTTGTCATGTGCAACTCTACTGCTCACAAGCAGGACCTGACCCTTCTGCTCACCTATCCTTTCTAATGTTTTGTTACATCCTCATATTTCCCCTGAATTTTCTAAACTATTTCAGTTCCTAGGGCTCTCTCTTACATAACCTAGGGCCTCAGGTTTCATGTCAGTGAAGTGTTGAGTTCTCTTCAATTTACTTTTTTTAAAAAAAAATATGTCTTTATTGATTTCCGAGAGGGGGGGGGGGAGAGAAACATAAATGATGAGAGTCATTGACCTGCCTCCTGCAAGCCCCCGACTGGGGATCAAGTTGGCAACCCAGGCATGTGCCCTGACATTTGCTCAACCACTGAGTCACACCAGCAGGGCCTCTTCAATTTACTTTTACAGCAGGATGGTTGAATTCCTGCCAGAGGTTTGTCAGAAAGACATACATTGACCAGAGTTATTTTGAAGCAATAAAGAATTGTTGGAGGCCTATCCACACCTTGGCAAATGGATTTTCACCATTAACTAACACATCTTTTCTTGAAAATGATAGAGATGTTTAAATACTATACAAGATTAGGCAGATGTTTTTGCTTTTCATAAGGATCGAGGAGCAATTGAATGTGAACTCTGCTCTAGAAACAGGTTGGATGTTCATAAAATGGCTGTTTAGGGGATCATGTGATACCTGTAGCCTGGGAGCTATGTACTGAAACTTTAAATGCAGAATTCTGATAAAAACAACATGGAGACACACTTTATATAAACACGGTCTTCATATTCAGTTTATGAAACCAAGTAGGAGTAATGGTAAAGCCATCTCACAATCTTGTTCTACCCAACAAAATGTGATAAATGTTTGCAACATTTAAAAGTGACTGTTTTGCAAGCAATATTACTCATTTTCTATCATGTTAATTCCACAACCCTGATCAGAAGCCCCAAGAGGACAGGTCTGCTTAACTTTGCAGAGTTTCTATATCTTAATATTGCAGTTTGGGGAAATTTATCCAACAACATGATACAGGATTGTTTTTATATGCAGGACACAGTGCATACTGCAATAATGCCTGGGCCCAAGTGAAATTTGATTTGTATAATGGCCTATGAAAAGGCCTGGACTCTTATGTCTGCATGAGTCTATGTCAAGGACATTAGAGGAAAAACTTCTTCAATACTCAGGCAGTGTTCTTTGAGACCTGGTCTGGAGAACAAAAGAAATGAACATACCAGAATATCAGCAGATTGCTTCAGATGTTCTGACCCCTGCTTAAGCTGCAGAGTTAGGCCAGCGCTCTGCTTACAGATGTGAAGTGGTGATTCTGTAAGAGGAAGGGAGGGATACCCTGAAAAAATATAGTCTTCCAAATCCATTAGAATGACCTGCTGTGATAGTTCAATATACCCTAGCATCAGATAATCTATTATTCATAGTACCATCTAGCCAGATCTTAGATCTAGGAACTAGATCACATTCAGGGAAGTCAGTTAAAAACATTTCCAGATGGTACAGCACGCACAAAGGTATATAAAACAGAATTAAAGAGAGAAAGTGACTCTAGTCACTGTGCATTAATACTCAGTAATTACATGCAACACTCCCTAGTGTCCAACACTGGGTAGAAAACCTGTTGAAAATCCTCAACAATTCTATGAGAACTACTATCTGTACTATCATAATTTATTTTTACAGATAAAGAAACAAAGGCTTAAAGAAGACAATCAATAGCCCAAGGATATATACAGCTGGTAAGAGGAAGACCTAGGATTCGAGCTCCAGCAGTAGAACCTCAGGCCAGAACTCTTTGACCTGTACCTTACGTACTTTTCCCCTAGGCTACTTGCAGTGTTGTTACTTCTCATGGAATGGTCACTGCCTATGAATGGACAATACAACCCATTTTTAGAGAAGCTTCTGTTCATGACGGAAAGAGACCACCACAGTAGAATCAAAACACTCATACATTTTTAGGACCTAGGACACTGCCAATAAAGTTTCCAAGACACTTCACAAGAAACCTGGAGCTCATTAAGGGGTTGTCAATCATTTCATATAGATTCCATCACTGCACTAATTTACTTTAAAACTAGAAATGTAACATGCAAACTATATGGAAAAAAAAATCCTAAAGAAAACCTAGGGCATCTAACAACTGATTTGTGAGTGAATTATACATATCTTCAGACTATACCAATCCTTAATCAATTTACAGAGCACAAACCATTTCCCAAGTTTGCAGTCAATCTTCTGAGAGTGATACTGGTAAAAATCAACAGGTAATGGCTTAGCTACTACAGAAGCTAATCTAAGACACCTTGTAATCATGTTGACAGAGGCTTGAGAAACACCTATGTCCAATCCAAGAGTCCTCACTGTACCCAGCAGACTGGAACACTGATAGAGCGGGTCATACCTTCAGTATTTGGGGCTTTCCTGGGTTTAGTCCTTTAACCTCTTTCCATCTCTCTCTACTTGCAGCACCCCAGCCCCTCACCTTGACCTCATCCATTGCCATGGTTACATTTACAGGCTGAAGATTCACAAATCTTTGGTCCGATTGCTCTTGAGCTCTGACTCTTCAAGATGTCCAACTGCCCTCAGTATGTTCTCCTTCACCTGAAACTCATCACCTGAAAGCTCAGACCCCTCCTAACTGCAATCACTCCTTTTTCCCAGCCTCAGGAATGGCGTCATTAAACACCCTGCCATTTTTACTGCCCCCCGTATTGGACCAGTCCACAAATCTGGGCAAGTCTACCTCAGACACATCTCTTAAATCCATCTTTTTTTATTTTGTTGTATGTCCAGTGTACAAATTTATGATATACTTAGGGCATTGTACCACCTAACTTGACTCCCAGTATCTTGTCTTCTCCCATTTTAATACCCTTTACATACACTTGAAAGAATCATGTTGCTAAAACAAAAATTATATAATGCCATTCTCTTGTTAATAATCAGTTGATGTGGTTTCCCTAATTGTTGGCAGTATATTCCAAACTCATTAGTTTATAGAGAAGTTTCTTTATAACCTGCCTTAACTTATCTTTTCCAGCTCATCTCTATCCCCCACTCCAAAGTTTGTTCATAATGAACTAATCATGGCTCCCTTAAGTAAGCTGCTCATTAAGAGTCAATGGGGACAAGATATTCTCGTGGTTAAGAAAGAGGGCTTTTCAGTTGCGCTGACGTGCACTGACCCACAGATTTACCTCTTCCTGATGGAATAACCTATGTATCCACTCTGACACTTATTTCCCGTGTCTCAAAAATGGGATAGCATAAGGTCATAATCAGAATTTATTAAGTTAATGTGTTAACTATTATAATCCTCATAATCAGGTATATCTAAAACTATTATTTAATGTAGACAAATTTTCAAAGAAACACTTTGTGCAAGTATGTTATTGCTGTTTAATTGATGATGTCCTCAAGGCTTGTATTCTTTGGCCTCTAGAGCTTCTTGAAGTGATAGTGCGGGGAAAAAATTGAAATAGGTTTGTAGCAATTAAGAACTATCCTGTTGAGGCTCTGATTATACCCACTTTTCTATACCACTGACCTAGTAATTCATTGAGTACAGAACTTCCATGTGATATGACTTATATATTTTATTTACTATGTGTTATATCTCCAAATAAACCTGAGTATAGGAATTTTACCTTATATTTCTCAACATCTCAACACTACATAGCCCAACACAAGATTCTTGGTAGACTATCAATAAATGTTGAGGTCAGAGTGAGTTATCATGCTAAAGACTGCTCATCCCCACGGTAATGTCAAAAATTAATTTCATGAGTTTCTGATGTTGGTGCACCATGATGTTTTTTCCAACAGAATAAACATCATACTTCATAAAAGAAAAAAAATATTTTACAATTTTTGTCATGCTGTACAAAGCAAAATATAAATTAGCATGAGCCCATGGGCACAGAAGTTAAAATTAGGTTTTGAGTAATTAAAACTATTTTAATTACAATGTTGATACATACAGTTCATAACACGGAAGCGATATTTCTCTAGGTTACCTGCACGACTTGATACCAGTAAATATGCACAATGCTTATAAAAATGTCAGCTAATATTTGACCGAAGTGAACACGTCTGTAAGTCTGGCCTTTAGTTGGAGTCCATCTTACAGTGCCTCCTTGGGAAAACGTTGTTCCTCTCCAATATGCTATCTCCATAAATTTATAAATGTTTCTTTGGATAGCCATGTTTTGAGAATTCAAAAAATCATGTCCATAAAGTTATTCTGAGCTTCACTAAAATTTACACTTATTGAGTACCTATGGAGATAGCTAACAATTATTAGCAGTGACTATGTACCAGGCACCATTCTAAGCACTTCTCACATACTAACTGGTGCGTATTACTAGCTACATTTTACAGATGTGACAAGTGAGGTTCAGGGAGAAAAACTCACACATCCATGATTATGCCATTACTAAGTGGTACAGCCTGGGTTTGCACACAGTCTGTCCATTCCCAGAGCCCCCGCTCTCAACCACCAAGCCATGCTGTTTACATAAAGTGGAATTCAATAGGTGCTAAGAGCTTTAGCCAATGCTTTGGGAACTCAAAGGAAGAAGAAAGTGCTTCCTATTGAAGTTCAGGAAAGACCTCAAGGAGAGGAATGTGCAGGATTCTGATCAGCAGAGATGGAATAGGCATGACAACCTACTAGTCTAATAGACTATTTTGAATTATAATCCAAAAATCAGGGAATTTTCCATTGGGGGGGATTAATGGACTGAAATAACAGGATGAAACAGTAGGAATGAGGGTGAAGTTCAGAAACTTCAGCTGCACATGTTTAGGATGATTGCTTCCTGGCATGAGTACAGCTCCTGTGAAAAAGATGAAGGCAGTCTGGCCAAAGGAAGGTCAGTACAAGCCAACAGCATTATGTGGATGCCAAGCAAACTAACTGGACCCTAAGTGGCATAGAAGCCTATCATACAGAAAGGAGAGACAATTATCCTAAATGCAGCAGAACTGGAATTCAGCTGCGGGCAACGTTAAGGATGTTGACAACCACGACTGAATTCAGAGCAGAACGGAAGAGAGACCAGCAAACAGCCATACCACACATGAAGGAAATGTTGGAAGCACTGGAGAAACCTAGAAGGCTCCGAGGAAGCATAATCACTGTCTTCAAATATTTCAAGAACTGTCTTGGAAAGAACAATCTGTGTAGATGCACTCACGATATAAAAATAGAACCAATGGGAGGATACTAGAACCATTAAATCAACTAATATTAATGCCAACACTACATTAGCCATGGGGGAGGAGGGACGTTACTGAGGTGAAAGAAGTAATCTGTATCCTACGGGGCCTACATGCTAGCCAGAGATCTCGCCAAGACAATGTTTTGAAAAACAATCCTCATCTCGCTGAGTAGAGAGTACATAAACATTAACGGAAACATATTGATAACGTAGTCTTTACAAATTTGAGGGAAGTGGTGAGATAGTGTTTTAAGAGGGGGAAGGGGGCCATTCCCCTCTTTAAGGAGAATTTGAGCTGGAGTCTGACAGATAAATCAGTTTATAAATCCAAAGTGTTCAAGTCACCACCCCAAAGCCAAATCTTCAGCAAACAAAATTGCAAACAGATTATTGAAAATGCTCAGTGAGCCCACTTAGGGTGTAAGAACACACAGTAATTCTCTGTGATACACCACTTCTCAAACAGTTCCTAAGAGGTAATGGGATTTCCTCCCCTTCCTTTCTCACAACAGTACACCCACCCCCACCCCAACACACACACACAAGAGCACAGTGACAAGATTGACGCTTACTAGGGAAAAGAAATGGGTACTATCTTCTTAAAGAGAGTAGATAGGAAAAGAAGGCAAAATGGTCAGAAAAGAGGGAACAAGGGGGCCCCACTAATGAGGAGAAACAGCCTCTCTGAATTGTTCAAAGTCCTGCAGCTACTTCCATGGAAACCTCAGAGTTTCCCTACTATCTCCAGACTGAAAAACACAGACAGATAAGGAATTTGTCATTCACTCAGCATTGTGTGGGGGAAAATGCCCAGGCCTCGAGTCAAACTCTCACATTCTTGCCCTGCCTCTTATCAGCTGTATAGACTTGATCAACCCACGTGACCTCATTGTGCCTCAGTTTCCTTCTCTGTACACTGTGGATAGCCAGTTCTGCATGGAGTTTTTGTGAAGATGAATGAAAGAGTATTCCTAATATGCCTGCACACATTGTATAATTCTGAGTTTATCTAGTATCGCTTTCTGATTTAAGTTCATAAATTAGAAAGCAGTTCTGAAGGGATTGCAACCTCTTATTGGCAAGG